TTCGGGACGAGCTTGACGCCCTACAAGCGCGAATGATCAAGGAGCGGAAGGAGTTACTTGAGGAGAACTACGGTGATCTTAAGACAGTTGTTTTTATCATCTTTATTGAACGTTAATCCTGAGGTATGAAAGCAATTCAAATTAGCGATATGTAGAAAGCAATGTCTCCATGGCGAAACAGATTAATGGAGCTGCCTCCCCCTAGCTGTGACTGAATTACGGCTTTCGTGGGCGGCTATGTGTCGTTTCCACGTGGGTTATAGTGGAGAATCGTCTAAGTTGCGTAGCCTGCAGCTTTTATCATCAGCAGCACGATTTCTCTATTTATTATGAAATTGCAACCACTATGCATACAGAAACATCAAACGATGTCGCTTTTCATTGCCTTCTGTGGCAGTGTTTAGGCTTTATGGACTTCCTTTCAGCCTCGGCCACAAACAGCGTCCCTCCTTGGTACCTTCGAAGCTACGCGGGGTCGAAAGCACGCATTTTTTGTTTCCTGACTGTGACACTTTTCCCTGACTCCATTGCACGCATTTTATTATGTTCGTTAACGTCTTAAAAATAAGTCGAACATTCTATCTATTTGTACATTGAAGGCACAATTTAAACTCCTCAGAAGTTTACCAATGTCCAGTCCGATTCCAAGTCTGTGTGGTTCCTTCTTCGTCCTATCGGTTTCCAGATGCTGACCGTTTTTTTTGACCGTCGTTTCCTACTAACAACACCTGATTGCATGGGATGACGACACAAATTCCTGAGCGCGAACTCATAAATTACTAGTTGAGGCACAAATTTTCAGCTTGAGTGACAAAAGCATAATTGCGACCCGTAACGCTGGGCCAAACAGCGATAGGAGTTCCAATCCATATTAATTCCTGACGAAAGCATGATAAAATAATTTTGATGCCATCTGTTCTTCAACAGAAGATAATTCGCATGGTTTTGAGTTCAAGGCATAACCCGTTGCCGATGTCTCACTAGCTACCTGGTCATAAACGCGGCGACGAGTCTTCCGACTTCTCTGATAAGGACGTAGGTCTCGATCTAGACAGAGTTCGCCGACGTTCCGAAGTAGTCACACCAATACTGTCTTCAGTGGCCAACGGCCGACTTTATTGAGAGAAAGGACGTACGATCAAGTGACTCGGTCAGTCCCCTTTTCTCTCACAAGGAACCAAATCTACATGGGGGCAGTATGCATCAAAAGGAAAAACGGTACAACGGATTTCAGAAACTTGAAGGGCGCAGTTGCTAAATC